TCTTTGGGAATAATGGACGCTTTTTTTAAACAGTATATTTATATTTTATACCTATTGATATTTTTACATTGTTAATTTTAGTATAAAAAAATTGTTTTTAGGTTTTTGTATAAGGCTCCCGTTTTCATGTTCCTGTGTCGGTTTTCTGTCCTTGGAGTTTGCGAATGTGTGTGTTTATTTACAAATTACTGTAAGTCATGCTTATACCTTAACTAATTTACGTTAAAAGTGCATATAATTAACTAATTGGTATTGAAACAATACAATACTCTATATTTTTATATTTATTTAGTCACGTTGTTCCATATTTCAAATAAATATATGTGAATAAATTATTTTTGGTTTTATTTATGAAAAGAAAAATACAAAATACATTTGAACTGAAAGAGGGCCCGCCATTGAATAAACGGAAACGGAAATGAAAATTAAGCCATCATGTCCTTATCATGTCAACCTGTCAATTGGAAAGTTAGTTCTCCAGACGACAACGAAGGCTTTCGGTGGCGTATCGTGTTTCCACGATTTAACACAGAGTTGACACTTCTTTCTAGTTAATTATTTTATGGGTCGAACGACAAACAAAAACAGAAATAATTTTCTCTTGTCAAAGTCAGAATCTTCAAAAATCATAATAATCTTTCAAAATCTAAATCGCTCTCATTAAAGAAATTCCGAAAAGTGTTTATAGCGTCCATTTTCAAAGTAATAATTGCTATCTTGTGAGTTTAATTCAAGTTTTATTTACTCCAACCGGTGATAATTGTGAAAAAGTGGCATTAAAAACTTAAAAAGCTGTGCTGTGAACTGTGAACTGCAAAAACCATCGTGGATCGTGGCATAACGTCGCGTCGGTTTCCAATGTTTCATAGGTATTTCATACATGCGTCCTTATATCAAATAAAGTTTCTTGTATGCAACACACTATCTTTTATTTATAAAATTAAACGAAAATAATAATAAATTTGAATAAACAATATTTGGCGATATAATTCCGGAAAAAGCCGAACCGCTCCGAAATTTTCAAAAGTTTTGGGTCGCGACCGTTGCAAGAATAGCGCCAAATAGTGTTTACATTGTCCTTATAGGCAGTTTCCAATCTAAACTTGTTTCATTTATCTATGTTATTTAGTTACTATGATAACTAACTGACACCCAAACCAGGGGCCGGAAAGTAAAATAGCAAAAGCGGTTCCACCGTTTCCACGGAAATTTCAAATACAATAGTTCCAGCCTCGGGCGCTAGGTGGTAGTGCAATTAATTTTTAGGTTAAGAAGTTGCTACTAGTTATTGCCAGATGGCGTTCAATCAGATTTTTTTGTAGTTTCCATAGTTTCCAACGGCCATTGTCAAATTCTCAAAAAATATTGTCGTTGTCATAGCGCCAAACATAAAATTATCAAAAATGATTAGCAAAACGTTTTTCAAACTATAATTTGTTATATGTGTTTTTATTAGACAATTCCTTTTGTATGTGGCCCTAAAAATATAATGTAAGTCTTTTATTTTTGCCGTCATTTAAGTACCTATTTATATTTACTCCATTTACAAAACTTTGGGCGTATTACGTTGGTCTTGTTTTATTATCAAAATAATTAATTATTATTAATTATTCAAATAATAAATATTATTTACACATGTTTGGCTTTAATTTTATTTAATAATTGTATAAATTATACTGTTAAATCTTATTTTTTACACATCACAACGATACTTGTTATTAGTATTGTTGAATTTGTGTAAAATAATTAAATTTGATTATTAAATCTTATTTTTTACACAATTTCAACAATACTAATAACAAGTATAGTTTTGGTGTGTAAAAAATCAGATTTAACAGTATAATTTAGACAATTATTAAATAAAATTAAAGCCAAACATTTGTAAATATTATTTATTATTTAAAGTTTTTATTTATGTATTAAATTTTTAAACATCGTTTATTATAATAAAACAAGACCAACGTAATACGCCCAAAGTTTTGTAAATGGAGTAAATATAAATAGATACTTAAATCACGAAAATAAAAGACTTACATTATATTTTTAGGGCCACAAACAGAAGAAATTGTCTAATTAAAACACATATAACAAATAATAGTTTGAAAAACGTTTTTATAATCATATGATAATCATTTGATAATATTATGATTGGCGCTATGACAACGACAATATTTTTTGAAAATTTGACAATAGTATGACAATGGCCGTTGGAAACTATGGAAACTACAAAAAAAATCTGATTTAACGCCATCTGGCAATAACTCGTAGCAACTTCTTAACCTAAAAATTAATTGCACTACCACCTAGCGCCTGAGGTTGGAACTATTTTATTTGAAATTTCCGTGGAAACGGTGGAACCGCTTTTGCTATTTCACTTTCCCGCCCCTGCTAAAAACTATTTCGGTTTTGAAGCTGTCAAGCGGCACGGCTTAAAAAAAATGTTTCGCTTCGATTATGAAAGCAAAGAAAATATTCGCCAGGAGATTTAAGCAATTGACACCCGCCAATACTAGGAAATCGAAGTCAAGCGTATGGAAGCAGTATACAAACTGTCAACTCAGCTTTGTAATTGAAATGTATCAAAATTATCATGTAAACAAATAAAAACCAGACTCTCAAAAAGATATTCTGTCATTATAAATGTCAAAAAATTTCCAGTATAATTCGCTGTTGGGTACCCACAAGAAAAAAAATTTCACTAAAATTTATCCGTTGCCATGGTGATTTGTCAAAAAACACGTTTTGATTGGTTAAAAATTTCAGGTGTGGAATTTTCGGCGAAAATTGCCAGCTAAAATCGAAAATTACCCGGCGAAAATTTCCCGCAGAATGTCTAAGTGACAATGACACATTTGTCACTTAGACGTAAATTATTTTTAATAGGTATTCTAAAAATGTCTCGATTTGGAAACGATTATTTAAGTGCAATTGAAGAAAAAGTTGCCGAAAGTAAGCCGAAAAACACTATTAATCACCAGTATGTATGGAAACAGTTTATGGACTTTACAAAAGATAGAAACTACATTTTGGATGCGAACATCTCAATCTCGGCGCTGGCCAATATTTTGACCGATTGGGCATTTAAGATGAAAAGGAAAAACGGCCAAGACTATAAGGATTTTACGGTAAAAACTATTTGGGTATAGTTGCATATACGGTTTTCGGCTATTTTTGTATTATAAGGAAAACATTTTATATACTCACATTCTATTGACCTTAGAGATTGTAAATATGCTGGGGGAGAAGAGAAATTGTGTTTCTTTGAGTATTTTTTCAACCAAACAAACTTACGGGACCGGGGAGCGAATAGGGGTGCTGGGCGGGATAAAAGCGTACAAACTGGGTAAAACATGACATACAAATATAGAAAAATCGCATTTTCCATTTAAAAAAAATCGGTAAAAAAACTTTTAAGTTAAACGGTTTTATCTTATGTGCACTGAAAACTAGAAAATAATAATAACAATTAGGTATTTTGAACTTCTAGTTCAGAAATATTTTGTAATTAACTATTGCTGTAATACTTTCTTCTATACTAAGTGTGGATTGCATCGACTTACTATAATCGTAACTAGAGATTTTGATAATCAATAACCAGCCGTGGCGGCTTCACCAGCGAACGCCGAGCTCATGATCTACCAAAGTATAAAGATATGCTTTGCCATAGGTAGGATTTCAGAGGGGCCCCACGTTTTTATTTTAGTCTAATATGCCTAAAAGCTATTTTGCCTAGTACTAAAATATTTCTGAACTAGAAGTTCAAAATACCTAATTGTTATTATTATTTTCTAGTTTTCAGTGCACATAAGATAAAACCGTTTAACTAAAAAGTTTTTTACCGATTTTTTTTTTCTAGTTTTTAGTATTTAACGGAAATGCCTACCGAATATTCCTCATTCTATTTAATTCATTTAGTGCATCATTATTACATGGTTTTTTACCTGATAATTTATTTTTGTTTGTTTTTTTTTTATTTATTGTTTCCATGTTGTTCCCATGAGTAATGGACATTTTAACGGTCGACCCCCCCCCAGAGGTCCAGTAGAGGGGCAAGGCTATAATATACAACAAGAGGCACCCAATCTTGAGGGGAAAACGCTTGCGACATTACATTTTTAGCCACCCTAATGCGATACAGTCCTCAGCACGTTTTAACCTATTACCTTAACTTGAGTGGTAAACCTACCGCTAACTACGTAGGTACATCTAATCACCTTTTTTTTATCTGTCCTTCTAACGTCACACAATCTTGGACACAACTGTTCTGGACACGACTACTCATGCCCTCACCTAATACGCCATTTTGTAACGACGTCCATCTTGGATTTTAAATTTTGTCATAATCACAGTATTCTACTAGTGTAGCCCTTTCATTTGATACCCATATTGAGGGAGTTGTGGAAAAATATGAAATCCGCCATTTTGTACCGGCGGCCATCTTAGATTTACAATGTTATTGATATTACTATATTGTATTGTCATCGGAACTAAAGGTGTGTACCAAATTTCAGATCAATCTGACAACAGGAAGGTACTTAAATTTCAATTTCTAATTTTGACCCAAATAAATAAATACCGTACGGGTCGAGCTAAATAAAACCGTTTAAAAATTGAGAAAATATAGATTATGCAAGGAATTTCAAAATATTTTAATTAAATAATAATAAAGCACTAAATAGACAAATTCATTTGACAGTTATCTTTTACCTTGACTGGTGCTCATAAGTAAATACAGGGCCATAAGAAAGGAGAAATATTTAAAAAGAAATCGACGATAACTCGTAAACGAGCTAATCAAAAATATCTAAAGTTATTCTTTTGAATGTGGGTTTTAGTGCTCTTTAATAAACCTAAATAGAATTATTCTCTAAAATAATTAGGAAAGCCAATAATTGACCCCATTAAAATTTACATGGGATTTCCTATGTCCCGCTGGACGATGCAACACCCGGTATAATATTGTAATTGATTATTATATATTCCTTTTTCTTTTGTTCCAGCTGGTACTTGTTGGTCCGCCATGGTGAAAAACAGCAACGGCAAATGTACAGAAATCCTACACGAGCACATATCGAAAGAAGACTGTTGTACTAGTACTGCATCCGTGACGACAGCTTGGTCAGCGGACGAGATGGACTCGAGCTCACTGTTCTTTTGGAGGATGCTGGGTGGTGGAGTTAACTGTCTGCCGTGCAGAAGTAAGCTAAACATATCGTGTGAAGATCAAGTTGGATGTAGAAGATGACAGTTAAAGGAACTCCAATTAATTTTGAAGTTTCTTTAACTTTAAACTAGTTACTAGCTTTTTCCCGCGACTTCGTTCGCGATACACCTCGAATCGTTCATGCATTGATTTAAATTATTGTTTACCTCTTTATGGATAGAGCTAGTTGATATTAGTATGGATAGACCAGGTTACGGATAGAGTCTCCCAAATAGCATTTCACGACTTGCGACCACATGTTTACTAAACACAACGTTGGATTAGTTACAAAAAATAGTTAGCTCTGTACCTTGGGTATTAAAATAAATGTAAACGTTGTTGTAACGTTGAACTAGTACTACAACAAAGTAAAAGCTTCTGCGACGGCGAATAAACGTTGTCTTGTAACCTTTTTTGCTTAAGTGATCTTTAGATGATTCGGACAACGTAGTTACAATGTTGGGCAATAAAGAGTTTTCCGACGTCACTTTCAGGACCTATTCCAATGTTATACAAACGTCGTCTGTTTTACTAATTCCAACGTTGTTTAGATTTCCTTATTCTTACGTTGGTAGGAGGTCGAGCCACTACCTTTTTGCAACTGTATTGAACCATAACCCTAAATCTTAAATTTTCACTTCATTGTTCTGTTCAGTCAGACAGTTCAGTGTTGTTTTTGTTTTTATAAAAAAACTTAATTAAAATGGGACGTAAGGAAGGCACATATAAAACTAAATTTAACCGACATATTACCGATATTTTATCAACTCCCTCGTTTATTTAGAATATAGAGGGCGGCACAAGCTAGACTCTAGGATGACTAAATTAGGCAATCTTGCGACTAGTATACTACCTGTTAAGGCTGAACTGGGACTTTATTAGTCCAGTATGCGACTACTCGAACTACTCCATCTTAATCTCCAAAACAAAAAAGTGAAAGCCGCCATGTTGTTGAATAAGGAAATGTTTCGTTCCTAAAATAGCAATTCCTGCTTTTTGAATACATTAACTTGAAATATTTGACCCTAAACAACACGCGGAAACAATTTTTTTTCGACTGCGAATAAATTATTCTAATTTTACTAAAAAAACATTTCAAGAATTTTTTTAAAACTTCTTTAATTTTAAGGCCCATTAGTATTTTTCAAAGTAGAAACAATACATTTATCAATAATGTTGTTTGAGTTTAACTTTTTTGCCTTGGGTAACGAGTTACTGAGTTGGTTAAAGTGTTTCAATAATTATAATCTTCAAACATCCCCCACACTTAAATACTTTTGTTTTGTTTTCCTTTACTGCCATCTGGCCTATGTCTCTTACTAAATCATAAAAATAATATTTTTACTATAATTATCCCAATTTAGGATAAAAGGCGACTTAGACGCCACATTATTATAGTTTTGTATTTCTATGAATTAGGATTTTAAACAACGTTACAGTTTGTACTAAATTAGGCTGCTAGCCAACGTAGGTATCCAACGTCGTTTCGACCCAAAAATTATTCTCCAAACGAGGAAAAACTCCATTAAAGAGGACCAATTAATATGATTCCAGTATTCGAGGATAGGTTAAAAGGGTTGGCACGAGGTTGTGCCGACGTTACGCCCCGACGTTTGGTCGCGTGACACAACGTTGTCCCGACGCGACGTCCAAATGCTGCTTGGGCTTCCAGGTTCTCTAGTTCTGCTTTATTGTATATTAAAATACTTTTTGTTTGGTTTGCAGATTCGTGTTCGAACGTCGACTGCGACAAGGACAAAGCCTGCGTGATGCGCAAAGGCATCCCCAAGTGTGTGTGCGCACCCACGTGCAAGGACGGCAAGAAGAGGCCCAAGGGCGCGGTGTGCGGCACCGACGGCCGGAGTTACCGCAGCACGTGCCGCCTGAAAAAGAAGTCGTGCAAGCAGAAGCTGCGCGACCTTTCCGTAGCTTATTACGGTTTATGCCAAAGTAAGATTGATCCTATATATGTTTTTTTATACAGTATTTAGAATATTAGTTAGAGGTAATTAAGTACTGTAAAAATTGATCTTGATTACATAATTTGATAAGGTATGATACACAATGCATACAAACTGGTTATGATAGATTTTCAAATTATGTAATGATAATGAATTTTACAATATTTAATTATTTTTGGCTAAAAAAACATGGATAATCATACAAGGTGCTACAAATTATTATTACAAGATACAGAGTGTCCCAAATAAATAAAAAATATCAAAGATGTATTTTTTTAAATAGGACACCCTGTATATTATCATATTTTTAGTTTCTACGATTAAAATAAAGGTAAATTTGATTAAGGTTTACCGCATTTTAATTTTACTGTTTTTGAAATATTTAGGTTTTGGTCAAAATACAGTAATAATTTTAATGCTTCATTTCTCTAGACGTATTTAAATTTTTAAAACCAACTATTGTACTGAAGTATTTGTATATACTAAATTTTGTGTTGCAATAATAAAAATTATACTACCTTACACAGAGTGTCTAAAATTTTATTTTAAATAATTACTAGCTTTAAATGGCAATAACTTGTTTAAATTAAATAGAACACCCAGTATATTTTATGAGAATCAGATGCACAATTTAATTGTCTATCAAATTGTATTATGTATACTATTACTATTATAATATAATATATTATTACTATTAATATACTATTTTTTAACTATCTCTTCAAGTTTGCGTAGAAAATGCATTTTCTTATTAGACCTCGCATCTATCAATATATCTATGGAATATTGACATTTTAGATTATTTTTAAAGATGTAACGACTTTTTAAAGAGTACAGATACTAATATTGTCGATATTGTTCGTTTATTTCATTAAAAATCAAAAAACTGTTTAAATATTTGTTAAAGAGGACCAATTAATATGATTCCAGTATTCAAACTACATTAATTGACTGTTTGCGTAGATTAATAATTGCTCCAAATACTAAAAAACTGAATTTTGTATGTGTTTTTGACAGCGTGGTAAAAAGTAACACCTTTCACACTGCATGAGAGCCATACGAGTAAATAAATTATTCTTTTTTAATAGCAAATGTTAAAATTGCCTTATATCTATCAAAAATAGTAGATAAAATAGTACTTTAACCGCAAGGGTAGATTAAATGATACTTTAACAGCGAGGATAGGTTAAAAACTTTTTGTATTCCTTTTCATAAGTCATTCCGGATTTAAATGGAAGTAGTTTGGATATGGCATTTGTCGCCTCAGCCTGAATAATTGGTAATTTACTTATTTCGTTTTGAGCCATTTCTGGCTCCAATTCAATCAGCAATCGACACGAAAGAGAATTAAAAAATATTGACTCAAAACTGACAACTAAAGAGACAGCTTTATTTATTTGTCAAATTACATAGCCAAAACCCAGCACAATATTTTTTTCAACTCGTAATAAATTCCTTGAAATAATAATTTCTGAATATTTTTTAAAACGTAACTCGCTATGGAAAAAAATATTGTCTTATACACGATATTAAAATGCCATTTTATCGTATAAAAAATAACTATTTTTATCTGCCAAAAGTTTTAACCCCTGGCTCATCTACCGTTCCAGGTTCCTGTGATAGAATAAGTTGTCCCGACGGCAAGACCTGCCTCCTCGACCAGAATCGGACGCCGCACTGCGCGCATTGCCCGCGCAAGCAGCGCTGTGCAGCCGGTCCCAAGCACCGCCCAGTCTGCGCAGCAGATGGACTGACGTACAAGAGCACGTGCCACCTGAGGGAGGTGGCGTGTCGGACGGGAAAGGCGGTACCGGTGGCGTACAAGGGCCCCTGCAAAGGTAGGTAAGCATCCTGCGTAGAAATGTTTTGGAATAATAGAAGATAACTACCTTACTATAATGAAAGAGTCATTTATACGGTCTTTTGTTTACTTTTTTTTATTATGTAGGTCGTTTTCATTAAAACGTTTTGATTGATCTCTACATTATATTGTTTTTGGCGAGCGCTGTGGTTATGAATGTACAACTTAAAGATAGTTGTAGGGCTAGTAGTGAAAACAACAATGGCTTGTTAAGTATAAATTTTTATTGAACTTATTTACAGAGTTATTATTATAGTTACGTTATTGAAGCGATATTTATACTTTTGATAAATGTTTTGACTACGCCTATGGTGGGATCACACTAATTAATCACGAAAAAAACCTATTAAAATGTTAACAAAAGGTACAAAACTAGTATTGACGTATAGCACATATCAAGTACCGGGTGTCCCACTAAGAATAGCTCTCGGCTGTATCTCGGAAAGTATTAGCCGTAGGGTTTAGGGAAAAAAATATTTATAACTAAATAGGCTATGAGAAATCGCTGGAAATTATTTTCAGTTTGTAGAACGACCACTAGAGGCCGCAACTACAACAAAAAATATGAAAATAGAGTTTTTACACAATTTTGCCTAGATAAGGTGTACTATAAGTAATAGCTTCACTTTTTTGGTTAGAGCCATTTTCCCCTATCTACCAAAATAAAGTGGTGGGGGAAGGTTAGATCTCCAATCTCCAAAGTTAGATCGAAATCCAACAAGCGAGACGGCTCGTTTAAAAGAGCGTTGCTTGCTCTATATTGTACCATATAAACAATAATAATAAGCTTTTGAACGTAGACGCTAGGGGGCGTTGCCTTACAATTTAACAAACATTGCGCGTTTTTTCCAAAAAATTAAATGCAATAGTATATGTAATTTTAGCTGATAGTAAAGAGTAGTAAAAGCTTAAAAAGTCAGCGGAAACTGCATTTTGATATCTTCTTTCAAACCGAAGATATTAGCAAAATTATAATAATTACCTTATTTTTACAACACGGTATCAGTAGCCCTCTTAATTATGCCCATTCTAACAAAAAAATAAGATAAAAACAGTTAGTCTATTTTAAAATCGCAAACTTTTTTTTCGTATCTTCATTCGAAAAAATGGAAATTTTGAGGTCGATGTCCCCCTTTTATTTTTATTATTAAATCAAAACTTCTGTTGGGACGGTAATTGTAAGTAATAAGATCACACTCTGTACAATAATATAGGCCCGCGTCCTATAAAATCCGGAAATAGATGATAAGCAGTCGTTTGTACGTGACCTAAAGGTCCTAACTCATGTTTGTCCAGGGGCGTACACAAAATACCAGAATACCATAATACCAGATGTATTAATGTCTAATAATTAAGATATTAATAACAGTGAACAAGAAACGATGATTCAGTGAAGTCATGGTAGGCTTTGGAAAAAAGTTGCTTTTGACGTAATAGTATAAACGTCAAATTGTTATTAGATCAACATTTTGATAGTCTTATCAGCGTTTTTTATCTTTTAATTGCTTTTTCAAAATGCCTTTATTATTTGAAATAGTTGAAGTTGTTGGCATTTTGAAAAAGCAATTAAAAGATAAAAAACGCTGAGAAAACTATCAAAATGTTGATCTAATAACAATTTAACGTTTATACTATTACGTCAAAAACAACTTTTTTCCAAAGCCTACCATGACTTCACTGAATCATCGTTTCTTGTTCACTGTTATTAATATCTTAATTATTAGACATTAATACATCTGGTATTATGGTATTCTGGTATTTCGTCGATTTTAAAATAAACTAACTGTTTCTATCTTATTTTTTTGTTAGAATGGGCATAATTAAGAGGGCAACTGATACCGTGTTGTAAAAATAAGGTAATTAAGGGCTTATTTTTTGGTATTTATTATAATTTTACTAATATATTCGGTTTGAAAGAAGATATCAAAATGCGGTTTTCGCTGACTTTTTAAGCTTTTGCTACTCTTTAGTATCAGCTAAAATTACATATATTATTGCATTTATTTTTTTTGAAAAAACGCGCAATATTTGTTAAGTAGTAAGACAACGCCCTCTAGCGTCTACGTTCAAAAGCTTATTATTATTGTTTATATGGTGCAATATAGAGTAAGAAACGCTCTTTTAAACGAGCCCTCGCTTGTTGGATTCCGATCATTCAGTCCAGAGTTATTAATATTTAAATAAAAACAGATCTAACCTTCCCCCACCACTTTATTTTGGTAGATAGGGGAAAATGGCTTTAACAAAAAATATTCAAAATTTATTTACTGAAGATTATGAAGCTGTTACTTATAGTACACCTTATCTAGGCAAAATTGTGTAAAAACTCCATTTTCTTATTTTTTTGTTGCAGTTGCGCCACCTAGCGGTCGTTCTACTAACTTGAAAATAATTTCCAGCAATTTCCCATAGCCTCTTTAGTTATAAATATTTTTTTCCGCAGCCCCTACGGCTAATACTTTCCGAGATACAGCCGAGGGCCAGGGACACCCTGTATATATAATAGAAAAATAATTATCGAATTCAACAAAAAACACGCTAAAAAGGTGGAGTGGACTGTTTATTTTCCTATGAAAAGTAACTCCTGGCTCTTTCTTATCAGTGCACATTTTACAATTGAAAGCTGAACAAATTACCATTGTAATAAAGTTAATACAAAGTTCACTACACACAACAAACTATTAAAAATCGCTAAAATTGTCGCTGGTGACCAGCTGGTGACTCATTCGTTACTTCAAAAAAAAAGGCGTCTAACGTCACAATTGACCCAAAACCATTGCCTGGAAACTTATATGGTGAAATTTTGATGAAATAATTTAGTACTTAGTAAAAACACGGTATGTCGCTAGTGGTAGGAAAAATATTTTTTAGAGGTTACTAGTTTATATGGTTGCCTGTGATATGCATATACAGGGTATTTCCTAATTAATCTAAAAAATAAAAAATCGTTAGAAAACGGCTTAAGGCGGGCTCTTAATAATTATATTTATTTTTTTCTCAGCAACCGTTTGATGAACAAGAAAAACTCAAAGGATCAATTTTGTTAAAAAAGATGGCCAGTCAAGAAAAAAATAAATTTTCTTTAAAAAAGCAGTAGTGTACCATTTATGTTAAGCAAAATATCAATTTTTTTTAATTTTTAACACCCTGTAAATCAGAAAGGAAGTACCGTAGACCTAATGGTTATATAAAAATTGTTTTAAGAACACATGAGGAATCACACCACAATTTTTAGACTAATTAGATAACACCCTGTATATTGTCAACTTGACAATGATTGTCGATAAATCAAAAAATACCTTTTCTGTGAAAAAAAGCCCGATTTTCGCAGGAAAAATTTTGGTTTTTATTGAATTTGGGCCTGCGTCTGCAAATACGGGTATGTTTTTTAATATTCTATCTATCTAAATTTTAAATATCATAGTCAGAAATAGTTTTATCAAATATAAACATAAAAAATATTTACAGCAGAAAAGGCGAAGGCGCTGGGTTAAACGTAGTCTCTACTAAGAACACGGAGGGGCGCTTTGACCCAAAACTTTACTATTAAGTTTCATATCTATCTTAATAGAAGATTATTTTCTTTTATCTATGCCCAAAACTGACAATTAAAGAGACAGCTTTATTTATTTGTCAAATTATATAGAAACCAACGAACGCCAACCCAGCACAATATTTTGCTACTCGTAATAAATTCCTTGAAATAATAATTTCTGAATATTTTTTAAAACGTAACTCGCTATGGAAAAAAATATTGTTTTATACACGACCATAAAATTGCATTATCGTTGTCCCAAATTGCATTATCGTATCCCGAAATTAATTCACTTGCGATTTCATCGCTCGTTAATTAATCTTTTCGGCCGACGATAAAATACCATTTTAATAGTCTTGTATAAAAAATAACTATTTTATATTGTCAATCACATCGCAAAAATTAATACTTTTGTGACTTTTTTGTGAAAAATGTTTTTGATGTTCTTGCGTAAAAGTATCAAAGTATGTGAAAGGTATTAGTTTGTTCTGTTTAGGCAACCTTAATAATATTTTGATGATATGTATATAAATTCCCTATTGAGCACCGGAATAATATACTGGGTGTTCCATTTAAAATAAAGGAGTAACTTGCTTTAAAAAATAACTAATGTATCATATTAATTTTGTCTCACCCTGTATAACTTTTCAGGTCAAATTTCAATTTGGTTTAACATACAATGGTCACTGTAATTAAATCTCAGGCTATACAAGGTTAACTAAAATTTAGGTAGCTGTTATCGAAATTTAAAATTGACTCTTCATTTTCACAAAATGTGAAATATGTCAAAATCCTTAGATTTTAGGTATATGCTTCTTTAATAAAACTTACCTTTATTTTTTTCCTAGAATCCAAAAATCAATTAATATATAGGGTGTTCCATTAGAAAAAACACAACTTTGAGGTGTAACTTTTTTTGGGGACACCCTATTTAATTCTATATATTTTTATAAAATGTTTTCAGTTAAGCTACATATTATGCTGCCAAAATTTCATTTTGATGTAAACTACAGGTCGACTTGGAGCTTCCGCGGCGTATGAGAGGCGCCACCCTGTACAGAGTACAGACAGCTGAATCACCTATGACGTCACGATACGAACGAAATTTAGTTACGTATTTCGGGGAATTTCGAGGGTATTTCGAGGAAATTTCGAGGAATTTTTCGGAGTGTAAGTTTTTTGCCAGTGATTTCACCTTCAATTAATATTCACTGGATTTTCTACTTTCACTGAATCAGATCCATTTTAACATCCAAATCGACATTATTTAGACTTCTATTCTACTACCGGCTTAAAACAGTGTAATACTCTCCCGCTACGGTAGGGCGTTTCGTCCAGACAAGTCGCCGCCCGTCATCAGGCTCTGATTAAAAACCATCAGCACTAAGTAGCGTCGCCGACAACGTCCAACGGCACTTTGGAATATATGCATAATCCCGTCG